TCTTCTGTCGCGGTCCCTTTTCGCTCGGTGTCTCTCTCTGAAATTAGAGAGGCACCGAACTTTGTCGGCTACAAAATTTTGCCTCTTCGAGTCCTACTCCCTCTTTCCATTTGAAAATCCTGTCGTTTATCCTTACCTTTCTGTATCCTATTTTCACGTGTGCTCCCTGCTCTCTCTCCGCTTTCGCAATACCTAAGATTGCCTTCTGGGTATCTCTTTCGTTTTTTGTTAAATCATTATCAATGTATATTTTCTTACCTTTCAGTTTGCCCTTCTTCATCATTATCTCTTTTTTCTGTTGCCAGTTTCTTAACTTTGCTATCAAAATACTCCCTCTCTCTCCCTTTCTCGTCCAGAAAGCATCCTCTATTTCCACCTTCACCTGCAAATTTTCTGATATTACCTTTTCTGCTGTATCTTTCGGTGTTTCGCCTCTTGGTAGTTCTTCTCCTTTCAGTGTGATATTGTTTCGTTTCTCCCTTTTTTCTCTTGCCTCCTCTTTTCGTTCTATACGGTTTATTCTTTCAATTAATTCGTCCGCCTTATCTCTTTTAATTTCCAGATTTTTAATTCTATTCTGTATTTCTTCTTTTTCTCGCTCCCACGCTTCTGGCTTTCTTTTCCATTCTTCTTTTAGTTCTCTTATTTCTTTATTTATTAGCTCATTAGTCAATCTAGCTTCTTACCTCTTTCGCCAGTTTCATTTCTTTTAAGCAACTTGTTTCTGTGTACCTTTTTGATGCCTTTATTCACCTGAGTTCTTTGGTTTTTCCTCTTTCCAGCGGTATTTATTGCACCTCTATCCGTTCAAATTTTCCTTCGGAATTGATTGATTTTGTTTCACTTCTCTCTGACACGTACTGCCTCTATAGCTAGCGTCACGTGACCCCCCTATTCATTTTCTTATATTTATACATAAAAATATATAATATCACAAATTACGTTATTATCATTTATTCCCATATTCCTTTTCCTGTAGGAAATAAACGGGATTTGTGCCCAAAATACTATAATCTTTATTATTCGCCTTTTCACGTCTACCCGCAATCGCTCTAGTTCTCGTTCTACCTCTGATTATCTCACATCAATCACTCTCCTCTCGCAATCTTTCTCGGGACATATTATTTTGTAGGAATTCGGGGTACAATATCGGGACATATAAAAAAAATAACTTTAGATATTCGATTTGTAGGAATATTCTTCCCTTGGTTATGTTATATTACAAGAAATGTATATATAACATTTGCCTGAAGGAGTATTTCATAGGTCATGTGTACAGTATCGTATTTTATATTTTATCTGTTACGTACATACAGTAAAACCTGGATAAATTCAACCAAGATTGGGACCCAGTGGTTGCGTTTACCTAAGCACGGTATCGAAGCTCGGATGACACGCGACGACCAGCCAAGCGTGAACGTAGAAAGGGACAGACAGTGGTGGAAAGAGAGAGGTCCGAAATCAAAGGAAAGAGCCGAAACGTATCGGTGTGACTAACACTAATTGAATCAAAAAACTTTTTTATTTTCGCCTTTTTTTGAGTGAAACTTTTACTAGCGCATTGGTGAGATTTTTGTGAGTAAAGTGGTACCAAACACGATATAGTTTCAATTATAATTACTTGCTAAAATTGATGTTATAAGTTGGCGAAAAGCAAGAGAGATCGAAATCAAAACCAGTCGCGGTGTCGGCTTTGGTTTCAAAGGTTTCATTTATCCTAGCGAGGAGTCGATTCTGGGCATTTAATGTTTCATTTATTCAAGCGAGGAGTCGATTCCGGGCATTTAATGTTTCATTTATACAAGCAAGGAGTCGATTCTGGGCATTTAATGTTTCATTTATCCAAGCGAGGTGTCGATTCTGAGACCGTACACATGTTTTCTTTGCAGCCGACATGCCGATTCTGTGTCCGTACACATCTTTTGTATTCAGCCGACATCATTTATATTCAGTCGTGGTCTCAATTCTATGTTGTTTATTCTATTACTATTGTTTATAAATATAATTCAACCTATATCGAGTTCGGTATCATTTTAATCAGAAAAATCTCACAAATGCATTAGTAACAGTTTCATTGAGAAAAAGTTAAAAATAAAAAAGCTTTATCGTTGAATTAGTATTAGTCACATGGATATTACGGTCGGATCATATTACACGGTTTCCTCCTCGAGCGGCTCGGTTCGCCTAGGGGGATCCCCCCAAGTGGAGGGGATAGCGATGTTTCATTTATCCAAGCATTCCTTCGTTGAATTTATCCAGGTTTTACTGTAATATAGTTATCGTAGCATCCGCGTCATTTAGGTGTATGCGAAAAGTGACGTAGCATAGCATGCCGTTAGTTGGATGCGATAACTGAGGTGGCGCTGAAATCAGTTTCTGTTCGGCCTAATTTTCGATGAAACGTTGACTGTTTTACCAACGCGGAATTCGGTGTTCGGCCTCGACGCTCGCATCGCCTTAAGGGGGTAGACACAGGTAATGCAGCGATGTGACATTACCGGCAAATATGGGCCTATTAATGGGTTTACGGGAATCGGTTATTTGTCCTTATATGAAAACACTCGGAGCTGGGTGAGGGCTCATTCGATAGAGGAAGGTCCAATGCAGGACGGTCAACTCATGGTTTAACGAGATTGTGTCCATATTTAATAATATCAGTGTCGAAAGTAGAAGAAAAAATCGACAAAATGCAGTTGCGGAATCGAAGCATTTTTAGGCCACTAAAAGAGTTTTGTGACTCAAACGGTGAGTTAAACCCTGCATTGAACCTTCCTCTTTCGAATGAGCCCTTATTCAGCTCAAGATCTTCTCATATAAGGACGAATAACCGATTCCCGTAAAAGCATTCCCAAAGACGAGTTCCGCCATTATCTGGATACTACAGAGCAAGTCACGTGACAAATTTAGTTCAGCTAGTAGTTATAAGGTGGCGTCTAAGTAGAAAGGCTGCCGATTTGGAATCGTAGTCAGAATCAAGCGTTAGCTTGATTACGTCACTCGAACTGTGCTGCGAAGGCAAGCGAAAAAGGCAACATCGTCCGAACGCTGAGTGAGACGCACTACAGTCATGCTATCCTGCTCTCATTCTGAATGTTGAGATTGTCCCTTTTCGCTAAGTTTTGGCTGCGGCCCGCCTGGATTTTTCACAGCGCCCCATAACCTCGCCCCATTCAAACTATATCGTGTTTGGTATCATTTTAATCAGAAAAATTTCACCAATGCGCTAGTAAAAGTTTCAGTAAAAAAAAGTCAAATTAAAAAAGTTTTATAATTGAATTAATATTAGTCACACCGATACGTTTCGGCTTTTTCCTTTCATCATTAGACCTCTCTCTCTCTCCTCCACTGTCTGTCCCTTTCTACGTTCATGCTTGGCTGGTCGTCGCATCCAATTCGAGATTCGACATCTCGGCTGGATACATGCAACGTCTGGTTCCCAATCTCTGTTGCATATATTCAGCTTTTACTGTATATGTAGACGCGAGGTTCCTCCATTTATTAGTTCTAATAGTACCATAGTACTTTTTTATGCAGAATGTTTCAAGGAGTTGACACAAGTAAAAAAAAAATGCAATTCCATTTAAATAAAAAGTGGATTTGCATTTTTTGAGTGCATCGTTGCATTCACGGAGAAAATGAAATCACAGAAAAATAGACATTATCATACCACTGAACTTTTACATAAACAGCTTTTTTCTATCTCTTACCAAATTCAAGATATAACCCGTCAGAAATTGCATGACGTATCCTGTATATTTTTATTAATTAAAAAACATTTATTTAAAGAAGTTAATAATTTTTTCTAAAAAATTTCTCAGATTGCACGTTCCTTCGGGTCTTTAGAGTAGGCATATATTTTTCAGCAGCGAGGGGTGCTACGGTGCGTTATATAAAATTGACGCGTTCAGTCAGTCAGAATTTATCGGAGCGGGACAATTCTATCATTTGGGTTGAAAGTAGGATAGCACGATCACTGTATATCTCACTCTAAAGACGCGCCAATGTTTCGCTTTCGTTCTTCAGGCATATCGTCGCGATGTCTCTGTCGAGATGAGCGTTTGAATGTGTTTGTAAAAATACTTGAGGCGCTGTTGCCTTCTTACAATTAGATCGTGTTGCGCGCACGCTAGCTGAGAATTAAACCTTTCAAGTTCGTAACAGACCACGCAAGTGGCTCCACCAGGCCCAACGAAAAAACTGCTGTAATACCGACGTCCCGAATCGGAGAGGTTACGTGCAGTGTCTACCCCCTTAAGGTAATGGAAATATTAAACCTTATTTTCTTCAATACATTCTTTATTCCAAATTAATGTTGTTGAGTACAATGTATCAATAAATAATAATATGATTTCTTTTTCTTTATTTTGAGCATTTATTCAGACATTGATGAGAAAATTATAACAAAGAATTTATGGAGTACAAAAATTTGTTAGATACAGTGAACAAACTATCCAAAGAAGAGGATTATTAAATTAGATAAGTTTGTCTTCCAAATCATGGACTATGAAAACCATGTAATGCCAGCATATTTGAAGTAAATAAATTAATAGGAGAAAATAAGACTCTTAAATTGTAATTTCTTGTTCCAATTTCCTTAATATACAGTTTAATTTATGGTTCACATTGTCTTTTTCTACTTACAGATACTTTTGTCGTGTAAAAATTCATAAATAAAAAAAAAGTTGTAATATCGGAGTTGTTACTCCATATTCACTTTCATCTATTTTGTATCATTTGTGTTTACAAATCTCAAATTCATCTCATCCGACTACAACAGTCCAACTGAAATATTCCATTGTTCAGACTATGTAATTAGAAAAAGTATTAAAGCATTTAGAAACAATGTTGTTCAAAGAAGACTTATGGAGAAAAGATAGAAAAGGATTGTTAGATATCCTGCTCGTTACAAATGTATCGCGCATGTGCGCATGTTGAAGTTAGGCGAATAAGTGGGAGAGCGAACATACGGCGTAGAAGACGCTCAGCTAGCGATAGAGAAACACACGTGCGAACTCGTTACAGTTACATACTCAGCCATTATTGTATACTTATAATTTGCTTGTTTAAATATATCTTACGTTAGTTAATTTTCTACTGCCAAATTACGAGCTCTTTCTTACGACTATTCCTCATACATAACAAATTGGCGACGAGGATTCTTTTATCACGAACCATTACGGAAAATCGTACACGATTTTTCGAAGCAAGCACGTGGCTAGACAAAGGCAACGGCGAGGAAGAATTCTATACAAAGGAGCTGAGGAAAAAGGAAGGTGACCATGACTACAGCAACGATGGTACCCAACACATTCGCAATTGAACCATTCTGCCCTACAAGCACAACGTGGTCTAGATGTCTAATGCGATTGGAAGGAGCATTCCGGATTTTCACAATCAAAAACGAGGCAAGAGTTCCTTATTTATTACATTATGTGGGACTGGTGTCTTTCGACATCGTGTGTAACCAATTAGCTCCACAGGATCCATACACAACCCTAGCGAAAACGTTAGGCGATTTCTACGAGCCAGCACCGCTCGAAATAGCGGAAAACTACAAATTCCACCAACGAAAGCAGAAGGAAGGCGAATCGGTACAAAAATTCTTAGCAGCTCTACAAGAACTCTGCCTACACTGCAAATTTGGCGAGTACGTAAAGATTGCACTACGCAATCAATTAGTTTTTGGGCTGATAAGCAAGAAAATTCAAGCACGACTTCTCGAATTACCGGACTTGACCTTGGAGAAAGTGACGCAGGTGGCAACAACGATGGAGATGTCGGACAAAGGAACACAACAACTTCAAGGAGAGACGCCAGAGGTAAACATAGTACAAGCGGCGAAACGGATTACCAACCGAGGAGGACACACAGATAAGTTATCTAAACACAATAATAGTTTTTCTAGAAATACCAATGTACGAAAACCTAATAATAAGTCAAATCCTGTAAATATACACAAATACGCGAATATTACATGTTATCGTTGCGGCAAAAATCATCTCGCTTCAAAATGTACGTTAGACAAAAATATTAAATGTAACGCTTGTGGCAGGGCAGAACATCTACATAGGGTCTGTTTCCAACGGAACCGCGAGAATAATCAGTTGACGGAGGTGTTACAATTAGAGCATACGCAGTTCAGGGAAAAGCTGAAGACTACGCTGTCAGTCAACGACAAGCGCGTGAAATTTGAAATAGACAGCGGAGCAGCAGTTTTAGTTATGCGAGATGATTTGGTTACGTAAGTTTTTTCCAAATTCGTCGATATGTCCAATAAATTTAGCGTTAACATCATATTGTCGTAAAAGGGTTAAACCCCTGGGTTACATTGTAGTTAACGTAAAGTGCTGTAAGCATATACATAAATTAAATTTATACATCGTAAAAGAAAACAGAAATACCTTACTAGGCCGCGAATGGATTTTTCAGTTACGTAAAGATCGTGTTATCGGACAATTAGTAAAAGATTTAGAAGCAATACATTCGGTAGAAATGAATTCTAAAAATAAATTACAATCACTATTACAAAAGTACCAAGACATTATGTCCCCGTCAGTATCAAAAATTAAAAATTTTCAAGCCAAGTTAACTTTGAAAGGAAATGCGAAGCCGATTTTCTGCAAAGCACGTCCGGTACCATTTCGTCTACGTCCACAAATCAAAGAGGAATTACTAAGATTAGAATCGGAGGATATTTTAGTTAAAATCGACACCGCGGAATGGGCTACACCCATCGTGCCGGTACTTAAAAAGAATGGACAAATATGTATTTGCGGAGACTTTAGTGTAATGCTAAACGCACAACTAATAGTCGATGACCACCCCTTACCGATAGCTGACGAATTGTTCGCATCTATGGCGGGAGGAGTAATTTTTTCAAATATCGACCTTCTACAGGTATATCTACAAATGGAAGTCCGACCGGAGGCAGGCATTTGCTTACGCTAAATACACATAAAGGCCTTTACCGTTGTACGCGTTTAATGTACGGGATCGCATCCGCGCCAGCGATCTGGCAAGGAACGATTGAAAGCATCCTAGGCGATATTCCAGGCGTCGCAGTTTTCTTAGATGACATACGCATTGCGGGTTCAAATGTGGAAGACCACTTACGAACTTTAGAATTAGTTTTCACGCGTTTACGAAAATGCAACATTAGAATAAATCCAGATAAAAGCGAATTTTTTGCGCGACAGATAAACTACTGCGGTTACGTTATCGATAAAGACGGATTACATAAAGCCCCGGATAAAATCAAAGCCATCGAAAATATGCGTAGACCACAAAACGTAACAGCGGTACGTAGTTTTCTAGGCATGATTAATTAGTACGGACGTTTTATCCCAAATTTAAGTTCAATATTACAACCGTTAAATAAATTACTACATAAGAATACACGTTTTCAATGGACAAAAGACTGTGAGCAATGTTTCAAAGCGGCGAAGGAAGCTTTCATAAGCCCTAAATGCTTAGCACATTTTGATCCAACTTTACCAATGATTCTGGCAACCGACGCAAGCCGTTACGGTATGGGAGCAGTGCTATCACATCTGTACCCGGACGGTACAGAGCGGGCCATACAATTCGCGTCGCAAACACTCTCTAAAACACAACAATCGTACTCGCAGATTGACAAAGAAGCGTACGCGATCATTTTCGAAATCAAGAAATTTTATCAATATTTAGTAGGCGGGCATTTTACCTTGGTTACAGACCATCGCCCACTAGTACAAATTTTTGCTCCCAGTAAGAGCTTACCAGCGTACAGCGCAATGCGCATGCAGCATTACGCACTTTTTCTACAAGGGTTTAGATATACGATTAAATTAAAGAAAACGCCTTCCAATTAAAGAAAATGCTTCTCCAGACGTAATCGACGCGTTTCAATTAGACACACATTGATTTAGTGGTAGCCACGGAAAAGGATACAATCATAGCTAAATTAAAAAAGATATTACTATCAGGAAAGAATCCCCCTAAATACAATTTCGCTTTCGCAAACGTAGATTTAAGGGAATTTACATTACAAGATGGGGTAATACTAAGAGGACACCGAGTGGTGATACCATTAACCTTACGTAAACGAATACTATTAGAATTACACGTAGGACATTTTCGGGTAGTAAAAATGAAAAGTATCGCTAGGGGATATGTATGGTGGCCAAACATTGACCACGATATTGAGGCGCTCGCGAAAAATTGTCAGGATTGCAACTCGTTCAAAAATAATCCAGTTAAAATGGAACCACGTGTAGGAACCACCTTCAATACCTTTTAACCGCGTACATGTAGATTTTGCAGGGCCATTTCTAGGATACATTTTCTTCATTTTAGTGGACGCGTACACGAAATGGCCGGAGGTACATATAGTTAAAGAGATTTCCGCGAAAACTACAATTGAAGTATGTAGGAAAATTTTTGCTACGTTCGGGTTACCTAAACAACTAGTTTCCGATAACGGCAAAACCTTTACAGTAAAATCTGGATAAATTCAACCAAGATTGGGACCCAGTGGTTGCGTTTACCTAAGCGCGGTATCGAATCTCGGGTTACACGCAACGACCAGCCAAGCGTGAACGTAGAAAGGAACAGACAGCGGTGGAAAGAGAGAGGTCCGATAATCAAAGGAAAGAGCCGAAACGTATCGGTGTGACTAATACTAATTGAATCAAAAAACTTTTTTATTTTTGACTTTTTTTTAGTGAAACTTTTACTAGCGCATTGGTGAGATTTTTTTGATTAAAGTGGTACCAAACACGATATAGTTTCAATTATAATTACTTGCTAAAATTGATGTTAAAAGTTGGCGAAAAGCAAGAGAGATCGAAATCAAAACCAGTCGCGATGTCGGCTTTGGTTTCAAAGGTTTCAATTATCCGAGCGAGGTGTCGATTCTGGGCATTTAATGTTTCATTTATTCAAGCGAGGAGTCGATTCCGGGCATTTAATGTTTCATTTATTCAAGCGAGGTGTCGATTCTGAGTCCGTACACATGTTTTCTATTCAGCCGACATGCCGATTCTGTGTCCGTACACATCTTTTGTATTCAGCCGACATCATTTATATTCAGTCGTAGTGTCAATTCTATGTTGTTTATTCTATTACTATTGTTTATTGTATTACTATTGTTTATTCTATTACTATTGTTTATCCTATTACTATTGTTTATTTATTCTATTATTATTCTTAGTTCGTAAATTACTTTAATTTTCAATAGGAAGAAACTGCCCGGTTTCATGGAAATCACGGACTTTTCCTAACATCATAAAGCACCTATATCGTGTTTGGTATCATTTTAATCAGAAAAATCTCACAAATGCGTTAGTAAAAGTTTCATTGAGAAAAAGTTAAAAATAAAAAAGTTTTATCGTTGAATTAGTATTAGTCACACGGATATTACGGTCGGATCATATTACACGGTTTCCTCGTCGAGCGGCTCGGTTCGCCTAGGGGGATCCCCCCAAGTGGAGGGGATAGCGATGTTTCATTTATCCAAGCATTTTTTCGTTGAATTTATCTAGGTTTTACTGTACCTCTAATGAATTTACAGAATTCCTAAAAATAAACAGAATTACTCAGAAACTTACAGCACCTTACAACCCATCAACGAATGGCCAAGCGGAACGATATGTACAAATCATTAAAAATTCTTTACGACGTATGCGATCCGATCAAACGAATTTACACATTGCGTCGCAACAAATTCTTCTACAGTACCGAAATGCAAAACACAGCACTACTGGTAAATCACCAGTCGAATTAATGTTCAATAGAAAATTGCGTACACGCCTAGACTTATTATTCGCAGGAAAAGATAGCCAATCTCAAAAGACAGCGGCACCCATTGTTTTCGAAGAGGGAAAAAGGGTGCGTTGTAGAAATTACTCAGGCACTGATAAATGGGAGTTCGGAAAGATAGTAGAAAGAATCGGTAAATTACATTATAAAGTTAAGTTGGACGATGGACGAATCTGAAAAAGACACATAAACCAAATGCGGGAGATAGGAGAAAACACACTCCCGAAACCAACTGATTATTCAAGTTTTGTTCAAAAAGAAGTAGATTTTTCCACAGTTGGCGATACACCCACGAGAGTGGAAACAACGAACCAAGAACCTGCGATGGAAACTCTATGCTCTACACAAGTGTAACGTTCCGCTAAGAAGGCCCAGCACCTTTTATTTCATAATTTTTACTATTATAATTAATTTCTAGTTCGAGGTTGTACAAAATGTTTAATTTAATTTTTATTATTATAAGTTTATGAGAAATATTTAGTTTAATTTGTATTTAATATATTTGTAATAATAAAATAATTTTCATGTCAAACTTCAATAGATAGTTCAGTCTCATAAATAGGTCGGTAAACGATTAGTCGGTAAGTCGGTCGGTAAACCAGATTATCGATAAATGATCAACGTGCAAATACATATGCGTTAGCGCAACCCAGATGATCTCGCGGTGGGGTGAGATTCTAGAGTAGGGAGACCGCGTAGATTAGGGAGTAGGGGGGCTCGGCAGACACGTGCTGGGGAATTCCAGAAATCAAAAGGAATTCTATATAGAAAAAAAGCGCTAATTCAGCAAAATCTGACTATAAATAGAGGTGTTCCACGCAGTGTAAGAGCAGATCGTCTCCGACTTCGGTCGAATGCACACAACACTCTGATAGTAGAGGACAGCTCTGCGCTGACTTGCTTAGGCCACGATAGAGCGCAAGAGTAAGCTAAATCCTTCTCTTTCAGTGGTGACGTGCAAGACTTCGGATCTGTGGACACCCTACTTATGGTGCGCAACGTGTTGAACACGTGTTAGTGCTGAGCCAATACTCAAGTGTAAAGAGCTAGCGAGGAGCGGAGCTCCTTGAGCAGGCCTGTACTAGCATAGCTCTAACTAGACCAGAAACCGATTGCGACCTGTAGGCCAGAGTCCACTCGTGTCTGAAGATATCGTACAAGCCACTGAATATAATTTCCAATACTTAGCGTAGTTGGTGATTGTACAGAGTGTTGGCTGTATCCATAAGTTAAGCCGCGTACTAATACTAATCATATATTTTCTACTGTATTTTCTCATCTAAGGCGTATTCATTATAATTTCTTATTGTATTTCTATTCTAGCCCGCACACATTGTTATACTAGCATTATTATTTTATATTATATTGAGAATAAGCATATTTAGTTATCAATCATTTACTTACTTGAATAAATCACTAGTATTTTAGCACATTAATGTTTGGATTTTACTCCTCAACCGCACACCACACGAACCTATAATCCCTAATACTTAATACGAGTCGCCTTCTGAGGGAACCGCTCTCCCTGTACGTCGGTGCAGTGACGTACCTATTTCTGGGACGTTACACAAGCGTCACCACGACAAACACCGGTACGAACCCCGGGTATACCTCAGGAAGAACGGCCCGAAAGAAACGCGGAGCCCATTACAATTACGCCCAGGCGAACAGTGGAAAGACCGCGGAGAAATGTAAAGCTACCAACGAGATTAAGAGACTTCGAGATTACGTACGAATAAGTTAGCATTAAGACGATTAGAATAAGGGTATTACAAACGTAGTATTTTATTTTTCGTTCTTGTTTTTCTTTACTTTCCGTTTTGTTTCTTTTCACTTTCTTAATATTCTGTTACATGCAATGTACGAATTCTGTTAGCAAAGAGGGTGTTAGATACCCTGCTCGTTACAAATGTATCGCGAATGTGCGCATGTTGAAGTTAGGCGAATAAGTGGGTGAGCGAACGTACGGTATAGAAGACGCTCAGCTAGCGATAGAGAAGCACACGTGCAAACTAGTTACAGTTGCATACTCAGCCATTATTGTATACTTATAATTTGCTTGTTTAAATATATCTTACGTTAGTTAATTTTCTACTGCCAAATCACGAGCTCTTTCTTACGACTATTCCTCATACATAACAAGGATATTCAATTACTATGAATTAGTTTTATTTCATCATAGGCAAATGTAACCTAAAATCTTACAATATGAAATTCACTAAATTTCTTGTACAATTGTACTAGATAATATGGGGAAACTTCCGAAAGGCCCCCCCGCCCCAGGACAACCAAACTTGGGATTTATAGTAATTGAGGAACGAGAAATCGAATGAGACCAATTACAAAGCTGGATCTCTAACCGTTTCAGAGATACAGGTACCTAATAGTTAACCGGTAAACTAGTCGTAACTAGAGATAATTATCGCAAATGACGACATAAATTGATTCTCAGAGGCTACTCCACCTTTTTTTTTTTATCGTGGGGAAATCTCGCAAAAGACCCCCCGCCGTCCCCTGGGGGAGGGCGGCAGGGGAGTGTCAGATTCCTACTGACTAAAACCCCACAGCGATCTCCTCCGGCGTTTGGCAAAGGCTCCGGGACCTGAGTGATATAACTCCGGAGCCTCCGCCGCCGCGCGCTCAGGGCGCCCCTCACCGGGGGAGTCAGAACTCCCACAGCCAACACCGGGGGTCACCCTGCCGGCTCCATCGCGGGGGAACTACGTGCAATGGCGGCCGGGCCCCCAGCCCGTACCGCCTGCAGTCCCCGCACCGCGATCTCCTCGGGCTACGAGAAGGAGCAACCCCCCGCCTGCCCGCGAGGAAGATCGTGCGCTGTCCTTCACTCCGCCGGCTTCCGGTGCCGGTTACACGGGTCCGCGTGCAATGACGGCCATATAGGGCGCCTGCGGCCCGCTGAGCCGTCCCCCTGTGGGCTGCGGTGAACCGTGGCCGGTCACCCTCCAGGGGGACTCTCTCGGCTTCACTGCACCCCCCCCCCCCTGCGGGGGCCAGCGCTACTCCCCACGTGGGAGGGTATACCACCCTCCGCCCGGAGTCACCCGGCCCCCCAGCGTCGGACAGAGAAGGGGCCCTGATTGAGAATGGGTTCCGCACCCGCCCGCCCCCGGGTGCGACCGGGGTCCGGGCTCCTTTCGTCCGGGGTGGAAGGGTACTCCGCGACCCCTCCCGCCCCCACAAACCCACCCCCGCGAAAAATTCTCCCAGGAGGCGGGAGGGCACGCGGGCCCCACCCGCCTCTACTCCATCCCGCATCCTTTACGGCGGGGGGTTCCACCGGCGTCGCGGACGACGCCCGCGTCCTCTCCGAGCGGGATCGTTTCTTTCGCGATCCCGCTCGGCCCTCTCCTTGAGGGCGATGACCTCCTAGCAAAAGGAGGCCACCGCCCTTCACTCCGGCTCGTCGGCAAGCATCTGTCTCACGACGCTTACCGGCGAGAGATCCTCCCCGATCTCCACCATCAGGGCGAGGCGGGCCACCGCAAACACAGGACACTCCTCCAGCGTGTGCTGCGCGGTGTCCAGCGCCGCCCCGCAGTGCCAGCACTGAGGGGTCCACTCCCTCTGCCTCCGACACAGGAACTCCGATATTACCGGCAGGACCGCCCCGACGGCGTGGTTTCCGGCGGCAGCCCCCTCTGCTAGGGAGCGATGCCACCTTTCCGCCGCAACCAGCCGGGTCTGGCTCCGATGCTCCTCGACCGCCGGTCCCGGCGGATCCTCCCCGGCCTGGCGGAGGGCTCGCGAATATCAGTAAGTACTGAATTCGACCTCCGCCTGATACCGAAGCGGGATGAGACCCGCCAGGCCCATCACCGCCTCGTAGGAGATCGTGCAGTAACCCCGCACGATCCTGACGGCCAGTCGGCGCTCCACTCGCCGCAACAGAGTGCAGCTGCGCCTGCTAGCCGCCAGATCGCCGACCCATATCGGAGCCCCGTATAGAGCTATGGACCGGACGATTCCCACGTATAGGCGGCGAACCCTCACGCCAGGCCGCCCGAGGTTGGGCAAAAGGCGGCCAAGATTGCCCGCCACCCATTCCAATCAGGGAGCCAGGCGGTCGAAGTGAACATCGAACCGCCAGTGGCTGTCGAGATACAGGCCGAGGTAACGAAGGCCCCGGCTGATCTCGATCCGGCACCCGTCGATCACGAGGCAGAGCTGGGTCGGAGGGGCTACCCCACGCCGAGGCTCGAAGAACCACATGGCCTCGGTCTTGTGGGGAGCCAGCTCCAGACCCAACCACCGGATCGCGTTGCGCACTAAAGCACCTCTGCACGGCGGCAAGTCCTCACCCACTCCGGCCCGGTGGCCAGCACGAAATAATCGTCCGCAAAGACAGTGGCCCACACCGCGGGCGGGAGGTTCACCCGCAACGCCGCGTCGTACCGCAGGTTCCATAAGGGGGGGGGGGGGGGGCCCAGTGCGGACGCCTGGGGCACTCCGCGGTCGGAGGTGTCCCATTTGGACGCCGACCGATTGGACGCGTCCCGATTGGACGGTCCCGATTGGACGCGTTCCGTTTGGACGCCGTGCCGGTTGGACGCGTTCCGTTTGGACGCTGGGCCGATTGGACGCGTTCCGTTTGGACTCCGGGCCGATTGGACGCGTTCGTTTTGGACGTCGTGCCGTTTGGACGCCGCGCCGTCCCATATTAACCATGTCTATACATAAAGATGGTGTTCGGTGCGCTTACATTAATTACGATTGTTTAAAATTATAATTGTAACGTGGTGAAGTTTATTGTTATTAAATTTTGTCATGAAGTTCGGGAAGTCTTATCGAACTTTGTCATTGAATGATTACAATGAAATAAAGTTCATTATTTCTGAATTCTGTAGAATCTATTTATAATATTTGTGCATGTATCTGTGAAAGATTCGACACTTAAAATATAAAAATATCCTTAAATATGATGTGCTGAAAAATAATGTTTCTTGTGACAGTTTTTAAGTGATTCTGTGTTTATAATAGTTCTTGTATCTGTTGGAAAATAAGAATCAGAAACGAAGTTGACATTAGTATTTTCTACCTATTAAAAGAATATATGTAATAGACATCAGCATTTTACTTTGAAACTATAATGAATTTGTCAGGAGTTGCTTAACCAGAGTCGAACAGTTACCTACTTTAAGGTTATAGAGTGAAAACACTGTTTTGTGGAAATTATCAGACTCGTTTACTATGTTGATGGTGTAAGTATATCTACAATATGTGTAATATGGTGAATACTATACAAATAAACTGATTTAATGGTAATTATTTTGGTGCATTTTAAATGTAGATATTATCGCTTTGAATTGTAGTGTGTTTCATGTTTCAGCAACCTCCGATGGATATAAAAAGCTATACACATCCGGGTAACAGCAAACTGAAGGATGAGTCGCTTATTTCATGACCCAGATACAGTCAGAGAAATATTTATAAATTTTGACAGGTATAGGTTAGCGTGTGTCACATGTATAAGTATCAATATATAATAATATGACATCTTGTTCTTTATTTTCAGCATCTGTTCAGATATTGATGGGGAAATTACAATCAGAGAATTATGGAGCTGAGAAATTGAATACATACCTTAATGAAATTAACTAGTGCAGATGAAACACTAACACAAATAAAAAAAAGGTACTCTGAAAACCGAGATGCAATTACTTCCTCGCAAGATATATCTGGAAATATGTTTGAGGTAAAAGGAATATTAAACCTTATTTTCTTCAATAAATCCTTTATTTCAAATTAATGTTGTGGAGTACAATGTATCAATATATTATAACATGATTTCTTTTTCTTAATTTTCAGCATTCGTTCAGATATTGATGGGGAAATTATAATCACAGAATTATGGAGCTGAGAAATTGAATAGATACATCAATGAAATTAACCAGCGTAGATGAAATACTAGGAGAAATAACAATATAGGTACTCTGAAAACAGGGATGCAATTACTTTCTTGCAAGATACATCTGGAAATATTCTTAAGGTAAAGGAAGTGTTAAACATTATTTTCTTCAATGAATCCTTTATTTCAAATTAATGTTGTTGAGTACAATGTTTGAATATATAATAATATGATTTCCTTTCCTTTATTTTCAGGATTTACTCAGACATTGATGAGGAAATTGCAACTAAAAAATTATGCAGTAGAAAAGTTTGATAGATACAGTGAAGAAATTATCCAAAGAAGAGGATTATTAAATCAGATAGACAAATTATTTTATTTCATCTAATCACTTCACATTATTTTTTACTATTTTTCACTTAGGTTATTTATTGGTATTTATTTATCTTGAATATTTTACTTCTTTTAACTACTCTAACTTTAGATGAATGTACTACTTTTCATTTTATTTATTTCACTTAGCTCATTTCATTTTACTTAGTTGTTATACTTATTTTATTTATATATTTATTTTACCTATTTTCTTATTTTAGCTAACATGGTACAAATTAGTTTCTACGTAGAACACTATAGTATTAATAACAAGTAAGATAGTTAAGAAAGTAAGAAAATGGAAAATGGAAAAATATATTAAAAGCTTTGTAACAGGTTTGGGAACGCTCCTGATAAAAGCCCCAGGCAATCCTGCAGGGGAAGTTTAATAAACTTATCTATCTACTTATTTCAGCTATTTACTTTACCTTTTTTTATTAATTTATTTTACATATTGACCTTGTTTACTTATTTATTTATTTTATCATACTGTCTACTTAGTCTATCTTATCTTATTTGACTAGCATATTTTAAGTAAATAAATTAATAGGAAAGAATGAGACTTTTGAACTGTAATTTCCTTAATATAGAGTTTAATTAACCGTTCACATTGTCTTCTTCTACATGCAAATAAATACTTTTGTCGAGTAAGATTTTATAAATAACAAAAACAAGTTGTAATATCAGAGTACTTATTTTACTATTCACTTTCATCTATTTTGTATCACTTGTATGGTGATTACAAATCTCAAATTCATAGCATTCGATTAAAACAGTTCATCTAAAATATTTCATTATTCAGACCAATCAGAAAAAGTATTGGAATATTTAGAAATGAGACGGTTTCGACTACCGTCTCTCTGAGGAGACAGTCCGGCCGCTAAGAAAGACGGAGATACGGTAGTCGGAACCGTTCCATCTTACTTGAAGGAGCAACGTTGGAAGTGGAACTGGAACGTGTGCTTCAGGAGTGGTTTTCCCCTACTTGGCCAGGCCTGCTGTGCAGGAACATTAATGTGGTAGTATAATTATTATGTAGAAGTTGTCTTCCGTAAAGATTTACGCCGCTGTGTTTGGATACACATCTTCTCCAAAACAACTTGGGGGCTCATGTTACTACTACGCGTTTCTATACTTGAAACAGGTTTCTGCCAATTCTTATCTACAAAAAATGAAAATGTAGAACATGTAACTGTCGTTCAAATTAAATTATGTTCTATAACATTATTCAAACTGAATTAATAAACAGAATATTAATATTCTGAAATTAATAAACAGTATATACGTACTCTCTCCATCTGCAGTTATTGCGTGTACGTTTTGGGTACGTACACGATCTTCAGCCAACATTACGCCGCTATGATCTAAAGAACGATACAGATAAAAATAGTAACATTGAATAAGAAAAAACAAGGTGGGATCAGCTTGCACGCCAGGTGCACGCATAAACTCCGTGTGTTCCTAGATAGCTGATATTAGCACGTGGTTTTAAAAGTGGACAAACAATTTTGTCGTTTAAAGATATTGTTGCACGTAGCTATCTAGGAACCCACGGAGTTTATGCGTGCATCTGGCGTGCAAGCTGTTCCGACCTCGTTTTTACATGTATCTCTACGGAAAGTGATAAAGTCTCAATATCTTTTGACTCCGACTATCTAGAAATACAAACGCCACGATTTTGAGCGTTTCTCATCAAGACCTTTCCAACGGAACCAAATTTGTATCTCTAGCACATGTAGTTGCTGAGGAATAAAATGCAACGATAGACGGACGCACACGGAGCGGGAATATAAGGTTCCTATCTAGGAATGTAAGCTACAACATAGGATATATACCTTCTATATTGGAAGTTGCGTTAAATTGTGTTGGCTGGTTTTTGTAGAATTTATTAACAGACGCGATATTTGCCGCTTCTGAAAAAGTAGAACAAAGTAAACAAAAAACAAGGATAATGAAAAATATATATATTATTTCTGCTGAAAAGAAAATACCTGTAACAAATGTTATTTTTGGAAATTCATTACATTCATCAACGGTCGCGGTGGGTACCTTTTCTGAAAAAATAAAAGAACGTAAACAAAAACAAAAATAATGAACAAAATATATATTGCTTCTGCTGAAAAGGAAATACCTGCGAAGAATGTTGTTTTTGGAAGAAGTTCATTACATTTATCATTTTCGTTAGGATCTGTAATATAACATGTAAAATATAATAAATTTTGTTTCAGAATAAAATACAGTGTTGTGTATTATTTCATAGAAATTACGTAATAAATAATATGCATGAGTATAATTTATACGAATTCGAAGCATACCTGTTGACATTAAATCGTTCTCGTAGTGTTCTTGTTTATGATCTTCGCTAAAGAAACGTAAAAATTGACCTAATGGCAGTGTCCCAGACATTAAATTTTCTTGTGATGTTATTATTTTCTTATCCTTTGCTTTATTCGTGCGTGTTCGTATACTCCTTATGTTTTCATTTTTTAATAATCTTTTATAATTTGTTTCCTGATCCGCAATTAGATTTGTTAAGTTATCTATATTTAAGAATGAAAAAAAACACATTAAGTTTATGTAATTAAAATAATTAGAAAAATGAACATATTTGATTACAATCTAAAACTGTGGTTCGCACCGGTACATCGCGGCGCACCGGTACACTGCGAAATAATTAAAATTACATAAAAAATGAGTAAAATATGAAATACTATCCTCAATATAAATCATTAAATTAAAAACAATATATACATATACAGGGTGTCCCAGGTAAGTTTCCATCCCGTGGAGGGGTGATAGCTGGGGTGATTCTGAACAACATTTCCCTTTGCGAAAATGTTGTTTGAAGCTTCGTTTTTGAGTTATTAAAGAAAACCACTGGCCAATCAGAGCGCGCCTTTAGCGCGGGCCGAACCACGAGAGTGTTGGGTATGCTCTGCGTTCGAGCCGAGGTCGTGAACAAGTGTATCGGCACCACGCATCAAGTGCTCAAGTGCTCGAACGTAGAGCATACCCAACACTCTCGTGATTCGGCCCGCGCTAAAGGCGCGCTCTGATTGACCAGTGTTTTTCGTTAATAACTCAAAAACGAAGCTTCAAACAACATTTTCGCAAAGGAAAATGTTGTTCAGAATCACCCCAGGTATCACCCCTTCACGGGATGGAAATTCTTGTGGGACACCCTGTATATATATATATCTTAAAGTTTTTATTTATGAGAGCGGGCGCCGCGACGGGGATGCTAGTAACAGATAGGCGAATTGGATTTAGACCGCCATTTTCCCTAGAGGACTCCGAGCGTAATCGAGGGTGTGCTGCTTTGTGTATTACAGATAATACCAGTGGATGTATACCTCTCTAAAATGTAATTATTCGTTACTGTTTAATAGATTGTTACATTGTTTAATCAATGCGTTTTATACCTAATTTTTAAAAAGAAAATATTACGGAATTGTACCAAAATTCGTAATTTAAAAAATAGATGCTTTTTCACCATAATGTTACGATTATGTCGGGCAACGACATCTGCTTAAATGGTGCTGTGATAACTATATAGCAATCAGTTAAATTTACATACATGACAGACATATGGCTCGGGGTATCGACATTACAAAGAACCCCGAGAAGTCGGTTAGAGTCCTTGAAAAGCAGGTCAAAGCCCCAAATGCATTGACTCTGCCACGTGTCGACCCTTGCATGCGTGCTGACGCTAACACGGCCAAACTGACCTGCTTCACGCTCTCGGGAAGCTACAATTCAAGAATTCCTCCACAGAGTACACTAATAGTACCCTGGATTATCTATGCACCTCAATCAGGCACCCAAACTTGCTCAAAACAACGTCTCCAGGCCGCATAGCTCCCAGCTCCGCACCTCGTTCGTGCCCTGCCGCTGCTACCGCCAAACGTTTCTACCGCAAGTGTTCCAATAAGGTCATAACGTCCTACGTTCCGTACAATTCGTGTACCCTTCAAACGCCGTGCTTCGCACTATATCAAGTCCGTGGCCTTATGTCACCCATGATATAGACTTTGTCGAACTCATAGCGTTACTATATTCCGTACACGACATTGACGTCTTCCATCCGTTATCTCCACGATGACTACACCTGTAAGTGTCACCCAACAGCCTCAGTTTTAATACACCAAATAGTCGAACACCCGATGTTACGTGTTCTCGTAGCAACTGCACCTAAAGTATCTCAAGGAATGTTTAAACAGGGCGTATCTCCCAACCAAATAAACATACAATAAATGTCTACAGCTTTACGTATTTTATTTTACCACTGTACAAACAAATTAAACTATTTATATAGTTGACCGCTAACACGGTTCATCCGCACTTCTACTATCCTCATCATTATCATTGTCATCACCAGACCATTCACCCTTCCAGGGACGCAGTCGGTCTTTCGGCGCCACCTGCGGCCTACCACTGGTGCCAACGATTTCAAATCGATCATTCGTCAAAATTCGTACAATTTTATAAGGTCCGACATATTTCATCTCTAGTTTCGCTCTACGTGTATCGCTTGGTCGCACAAAAACAGTATCCCCCACCGCGTAATTAATATTGTTTCTACGTCTGCTATTCGCTGCTATATTTTGCGTTTCGGCATTCTTCTCAAGGCGTGCAGATGCAAGTTCTCTATCTCTTAGAATGTCAATGCGCTCATTATTATCAGGCAATTCCCTTTCAGCAAGTACCGCGTTACCCGCGCTTCTTTCCATCCCAAACAGTAACCGGCTTGGTGAGAACCCTGTAGACTTTTGCACAGTCGTATTAAGCGAAAGTTGAATTTTTGATATCACGCTCGGCCAATCTGTATTCTTTGAGATTTCGACTGTAAGAAGGTTAGTGATCGTAGAAACGTATCGTTCAGCCTGACCATTAGCCCGAGGGGCTCCCGTGGCAATAAAATGTAACTGAACACCGTTATTCTCAACGAACTTCACTAGAGGTTTGTAGGTGAAATTTGTTCCGCGATCAAGGATTAATACTCGCGGAGTACCGAATAAAGTTAATCGATCTCGAAAAACCTGAAGGGTTTCTGGACCGTTTAGTGTTTTCAGCGGAACAAGTTGTACGTATTTGGTAAACGCATCTACAATAATCAATATATGTTTGTAACCGTCCTTCGATGTTTCAAACGGCCCAACACAATCGCAATGTACTGTGTCGAAAGGGATTGCTTTCTTTTCAATAGATCGCAAAAATCCTTGTCTAGGTCCTGACTGACGTTTAGCAACGGTGCAAGTAATACAATGGTCAATATATTTTTTCACGAAATTACGCATTCGGGGAAACCAATATCTCTGTGCAACCCGGTCAAACGTTTTGTCATAGCCAACGTGACAATTTTCGTCGTGATAAAGACGCAACAATCCAATTCTACTACCCTTAGGTACGTAGCTGCGAAATACCGTCCGACCACTATCTCTTAATATCTTTCTGCATAAAATACCATTCCGCACTTCAAAGTCACTGGAAACGGATTCTCCCGCGGAAACTCTCTGGATTAAGGATTTTGTTTCCTCGTCATTCCCTTGAGCAATTTCTAGCCACGAACCCTCACATATTACATTTACTCGATAATCTTTCGGCGGGTTTCGACTCAGGTAATCAACATGTTCAATGCATTTCCCTTTCCGATATTCTAAGTCAAATGAATAATCCTGTAAGTAAACCCACCAACGGGCAACACGTGGTAACAAGTCCTTTTTATCCCGAGTCGCTTTCACAGCGTTACAGTCTGTCACAATTTTAAAATTGATGCCTAATAGATATACTCTAAAATACTTCAACGCGTTTACTATCGCGAGCGTCTCTAACTCGTATGAGTGATACCGAGATTCCGCTGGTGTAGTACGCCGACTAAAATAAGCAATGACCCGTAAATCCCCATTTATCCTTTGAAAAAGAATAGCACCGTACCCAATTGCACTCGCATCCGTGTGCAGCTCAGTTTCTTGCTTTGGGTCAAATATCGTGAGCAAAGGTTGCGCGGTGAGAGTCTCGATAATAAAATGTCGTGCATTTTCTTGCTCCAACCCCCAACACCAGGGTTGACCGTTTTTCGTAAGTTTAGAGATGCACGCTGTCCGCACGGCAAATTCGGGGATAAACTTCCGAAAGTAACTGGCTAATCCCATAAATTGCCTTACCTGTCTTACATTTGTCGGCGTCGGTGAATCAACAAGAGCCCTGACCTTTTCCTTACTAGGCTGTACACCATCAGCAGATATCTCTCTCCCCAAATACTCGATATTTTTTTTAAAGAATTTACATTTCTCCATATTGAGAGAAAATCCGGCCTCCGAGAGGGCATGCAATACTAGATCTAAATATCTTAATCCCTCCTCCATCGTCTCGGACGGTATAAGTATGTCGTCGATGTAAACGATAGCAATATTATTTTTCAAATTTCCAAGTGCGTTATTTATTGCCCGCTGGAAAACCGCTGGTGCGTTAGCTAACCCAAAAGGCATACGGAGAAACTCAAAATGACCGTCTGGAGTTATAAAAGCTGTTTTGTCAATAGAATCGGCTGCAACCGGTATCTGATAAAACCCAGACGCCATGTCCAAGGTGGTAAATAATTTTCCCCTTCCGAGACGATCGAGTTGATCCTCTATTAGAGGCAACGGATAGCGGTCCTTTACCGTGATTTTATTTAGAGCGCGATAGTCAATGCACATTCTATCCTTCCCGTTTTTCTTTTTAACCAAAAGGATCGGGCTCGCATAAGGCGAAGTGCTTTCGCGTATTATATTATTTTCCATTAAATCGGTAATTATCTCGCGAACTTTCTCTCGCTCAGCAAACGACAAACGATAGGGGCGATAATTTATTACCTTATTTTCTTGAATTACAATTCGCATCTCACCGGTGGTGACACTGCGTATGTGATTACCCCTCGCGATCATGTGTTGGTATCTGCCCAAAAGTTCACGCAGCGACCCATCCATGTCGTTCCCAATGTCGTCAATTGTGCAGCATTGCTCTCCTGCCGGATATTGCTCTGATTCCGTGAATGCTGGCATGCGCTGGAGTTTAGTACCGTCAACGTCGGTCACCATCTTCAAATCTGGATGTCGCAGTACATTTCTTCCAATGACAACCTCATATGGAACGTCCGCGTCTGGCAAAATAAAAATGTCCAGTTCCAGGGAGACGTCCTCACATTGCACTACCGCTGTAGTTTTGGCAATCGTAGAAACACTCTTATTGCCCAGCCCTCGCACCACCGTAACAAAAGGTGTCACATTGCAACCCGTACGTTTCGCAACACTTTCCCTCATCAAGGAACAATTCGCACCACTGTCCATAAGGCAATTAAGTAACGTATTCCGCAGAAGGATCGGTGTCAACTTCATGTTTGTTGTCTGGCAGACATTTGCTTGAGCGTTTTTCTGCTCCCGACTGGTGTTTGCAGTTCTTTGTTTGATCCAACAACGCGTCTCCTCGTGGCCTCTCTTCTTACAAAAACTGCAGGTTACTATCTTTCTCACTGGGCCATCATCCCCGCTTGGTTTAGATTTAGCCTTTTTCGGACAATGTCGCTGCACGTGGTCATCACTGTCGCATACAAAACATCTTTTCCTTGAAGCATGTGGCCCCTTGGTTGCACGTTCTCCAACTCCTTTGTCAGTTTTCTTTTCACAACCTGTTTTCCCAAATTGCGTAATTCCGACGATCATGGACGCGGTAGTCTGATGGTTACCATTCATCATTGCCTGTCTGACACTTTCATCCGTGATCGCACCAATAACGAGTTCTATTAGTTCATCAGGTTTAAAATTCACACGCGTCTGTTCGAAATACATTAATTTCGTACGGACATATTCAGCGTATGAAACGGCTCCGTCACTCGTGTACGTAACCGCACGAAGCATTCGCTGATGCAGTCTTTTTTCGGACACAAATACTGAGCACAGATCCTCGCGAAACTTGTCCCACGTACGCGGCTTTCCTTTCCACTCTCGGTACCATCTTTTCGCGGGCCCTGTGAGTGCATGCGTCGCCAAGGATAAACGTTGCTGGCTCGTAACGTTCTTCGTAATTTCCTCCACCAAACTACACCACACATTTGAATCATCACCCAACTCGCTACCACCAAACTCGGGTATTGCTTCCATCAATGGATTTGGCACTGTTATATTATTGCCAATTACAGGCGGCGGAGCATTGTTTGACGGTACAACACTAGCAAGTTTCAACATCACTTCACGCACTATATCCTCAATAGAAGGTGTCGCGTCCGTTTCACTCATGTTGTTTTACGATATTCGCGTGCGCGAAGCAAACAAAATGTTAGTGATATTTTAGCAGATATACCAAAACACGCTTGTACACGCGTACTTATCGAATACTTCAATATTCCCTTTAAAGTGACTAAGTTTGAATCCCACTTCTGATGTCAGAAAGATCACGATCGATCCGAGGTTCTCGGGTAAGTGCCGTGTCTTTTGACACAGTCCTCTTGCCAGAGGGTCCCCGGACCCTCCCCACTCCGTGGCGAGATCCTTTATTTCGAATTCTTATCTCTCTGCACGCGCCACGCAGCACCATGACTTTGGGTCATCGGCCACATCCGCGTTTCTTTGAAGCTCGGCGATCGAACTCTCTATCGCCATTCCATATACAAAACATCCGCGACTCTTAAAATTCGTCGCACCCCAATCAACTACCGCCGGCCCAAGTCCGATGACAGACATATGGCTCGGGGTATCGACATTACAAAGAACCCCGAGAAGTCGGTTAGAGTCCTTGAAAAGCAGGTCAAAGCCCCAAATGCATTGACTCTGCCACGTGTCGACCCTTGCATGCGTGCTGACGCTAACATACATATACAGGGTGTCCCAGAACTGGGGTAGGAACGGAAGAGGGATGATTGGTGAGGTCATTCTAAACAACTTTTTCCTTTGCCACAATGTTGGTTAAGGCTTCGTTTTCGAATTATTAACGAAAAACACTGGCCAATCAGAGCGCGCCGTTAGCGCGGGCCGAACCACGAGAGTGTTGGGTATGTTCCGCGCGGTCGTGATCAAGTGCCTCGGCACTACGTCGGTATGATGGGATTCGTTGAATAGAAGTTGCATCGGATAATGAATAAAAAAAAGAATAGAATAATTGTATCGAATTATTGATTACTCATGAACAACGAATCCTATTACACCGGCGTGGTGCCGATGCACTTGATCACGACCGCGCGGAACATACCCAACACTCTCGTGGTTCGGCCCGCGCTAACAGCGCGCTCTGATTGGCCAGTGTTTTTCGATAATAACTCGAAAACGAAGCCTTAACCAACATTTTGGCAAAGGAAAAAGTTGTTTAGAATGACCTCACCAATCATCCCTCTTCCGTTCCTACCCCAGTTCTGGGACACCCTGTATACCATTACCACGTATGGGAAGATGCTACGCACAACAGCGTTTATCGATGTACGTATTTGAAGCACCCGAAAATATTCATTTAAAGCCTACTCTTAGAATATTAACGATATAACCAACATACATAAGGATAATGATCGTAACATTAAATTATGAATCTGCTTATGGAATACATTTTTCATTAATCATGTTGAAAAAAAAAATTGTAATTGGAGTAAGAATGTCAGTCACCTATCAATAAACTCAACAAAAAACGTAAGTTCTCCATTATAAATAATATACTTCTCTGTGATATTATATTAGAAAAGATATGAAAAACAAAATACAGAGCTCACTTATTGTAGTATAATACCTTTTGAAACATTTTATTCCTACAATATAACTTATGTTTCCACACAATTCATCTGTATTTTTTTCAACTTTGTCCTTACATTGTGTACTCATTCTATTACTTATGGTAAACATAAACTAACTACATAAATGATAATCATACTCATACCTATGAAAAACCAAAAATTTGGATGGACAGCCTTGAATTTTCTGATTATAGCACTGTGAAAGGATTCAACAATGTTGTTAGTCCTGACTGCTGAGCCATACACGCTGACCTTCGAAGAAATAGGTAGCCATACACTTCTTAGATACGCCATAAACATAAGAACATTTGGATATGTGTCGGATAAACGATCAGCGACTAACTGAATTTGATGTAATGCTTCTGGAAACATATCGGATGGAGCTAAAGGCATTGTCATAGCCATTGACAGAATCTCTTTTGGTGCTCCTTGCAACCCCAAATTCTTCCACTTCCTTAATACAGCCTGAATAATAAGAAAAGGATTATTCAATTCTGTATTAAGCACTTCAAGGAGGTAAGTTATGCAAAAAATACATGAATAATGCAAACAGTTATATTCTACCTGAGTAAAATGAAACCAGCATCCATGTATGGTAACCCTGGGGAATTGTGCTTGTACACTTTCCATAGCAGCTCTCTCGTAATCACACATGACAGTTTCTAAGTTGTCTTGCAATCATGGAACAAGAGAAACTATTTCTCTCCATATTGCTGTGTACATTGCTTTAGTACGACATTCACATAAAACAAAAATGGTAGCGATTCCCTGTAAATTGGTATTATTTTTTAATCTGATAACGTGAGATAAGTGTAACAAGAATTATTAATAGTGATATACCGTGTCATTGTACCGTATGTGTACTGTGTACAGTTGATGAAAAGGAGGAATTCGTGGTACCACCTAATAAGAGATAAAAAATCATCAAAATGTAAAGACTTTCATTACTTGAAGAATATTAATCACATGAATGGTTTCTCTTAAATACTTACCGAAAAAGTACCATCCATATATATTTCTTTTGCATTTTCTAATGCACTTAGCAATATAGTATTAGAGAAAATTAATGCGTATTTGTTATTATTTGAGATTGCACATCCCTTGTAAATTTCATTCAGGACATCATAATTTTTTAATATTTCATGTGCACTCTGCACAGTTTTTGGCAAACATGGTCGAGATTTTCTCTTCTCTCTTGACATTATCGATTTCATACTGTTGTATGAAATATATGTTGCTGCATCAAGATTTGTACGACAAATATTGTCAAAGATGTCTTTATTATTTACTGAAGGATTTATACTACATTCCTCCAGCATCGCTGATTTTAATTTTAATATTTCTGTACATTGCGGCTTGTTAGGATGGGTGTGTGGTTTTTGCACAAAATAACGTTCATTTTTTTGAATTAATGTTCCTGTACATTTGTTGGTTTGACGACTGGAACAACGGTAGATCTTCGGATTCTTAGAATCTTTATTATAAGAATACCCTTCATAAACGTATACAAAGGTATTATTTCTTTCACCTCTTAAAATCTCCATCTTTTGTGTTGCATTTCATATCTGTGAGAGATATATCACAATAATTTATAATATAAAATATTCAAAAAGATAAACAAAAATATATGGAAGAAATATTATACAAGGATATATTGTAAATACGTGTAAAACAATTGTTGAGTTTCATAATTTTAGAAATTGTAAAGTAGCTGTATACTGAGGATTAGAATGACAGTGAAATCTTAAGTTCGTGTCAACTATAAGTACTTACATAGGTATCACTTATGCAGATAACCTGTTCTGTTAAACATAATTTCATACTACCGACGAACCATGCATGAGCAACGTAGAATGAACGCACCGTCGACATCGACACACGTATCGTTGGCGTTTTGTTATTTTTTCCGACCTATTGTTTGTAGTATCCGGTTCCTGTTTGTCACGTCGATAGTATACATTGACCTTAATATGTTACAATTTTTTTTTTTTTTTTCAGAAAAAATAGTATTTTCAAATATAAAATATTTGTCAGTCTCAAACAGATTCCAGAAACATAATCCGACTATCCAATGGTACGTTCTTTGATTAAGAAACAAAACACATGTATGTATGGTAATTGTTATTTGGCCGTTAAGACAATGGTTTTCTCTGGTTACCCTGGTTACCCCGGTCCAGATTGATCTAGATCTAAGAGATGCGATTATAATCTCAACGAAAAACGTGAGTATTATTTTAAATTAACGTTTTATACATACTTTTCTTCTATACTGGCTATTATTACTTATAATCTACAAAATATGCTAGAAGCATTTTATACCACTATTGATAATTTTTGTTATGCTAATCTCACATTATTAGATTAAAAAATGATTTCAATTTACAGGGAATTTCAGTTTACTGTTTTATGTGAATGTCGTACTAAGACCATGTACAAAGCAATATGGAGAAAACAGTGTTTCTTATTCCACGATTGCAAAACAACTCAGAAAGTGTCATGAGGTACGTTTTCATACCTTAACTATGTTACGTTCAACTTATGCTTCAAGTAAAATGAAGCTAAAATTATTTTAATTCGTTTCTAGACTGCCATGAACATTATGTATATAATGAAACTCGCATGAATGTAACATTTGGTACATGTTCCTAATTACTCCAGTCTTCATTGTTTCATTATTTAACACGTCAATTATTATAGTATATAATCTTTTACAGATGATGTTACATCAACCTCAACGGATAACATTAATGTATGTATAGAAAGTCGAGGAGATAACAGAAAACAAGTGTTGTGTACATTTAGGAAACAGGAACAAGGAAGAAGCAATAGAGGGTAAATATCTAACCACCAACTCTACCTTATTAATGTTTAGATTATGTCTAAAAAATATAGTAAATTTTATTGATTTCATGTTTAATGTGTTCTTGTTTGTTTTAGGTGATATTTCATCACCATCTAATGACACTCCCAGTGATATTTGCACAAAGTCTTTACTGGAATTTCAATTAAGCGTCGATGGTATGACAGATGGTATGTTTTAAACTTGAGTGACATTTTCAGACGATGTTCAAGTTTTTAAATACTATTTTATTAATTAAGTCCGTTTTTCAGATACTGACGTTTGTATAAGTGGTAGTCAAATTAATGAACAGAATTTAATGGAAGGTAAATCTTTTATTTATTCATATCTTTAATTTTGATATAAAATACAATGGGGTGCTTACAGAAAGATAATATAGATAGTACACGATATCACATACTTTATAATATACATATTTTATAGTATTTTAAAATTAATCTCGTTTTGGTGTATTCTGTTTCCATGTTATTAATTAGAAGAATGGTCTGGACGAAGGAGTTGCTGCTGCAAGTGAGACGTCTCCAGAATAGTACTACCACGTAATTCCATTTATTGCTACAAAACTATTTATTTGAAAAAAGAAGAAAACAATGTGAAATGTAATTTAAATTCTATATTATGGAAATTAGAATAGAAAATTAAAGTTCAAGAGCTTCATCTACCCTTATTAAACTATTTACTTCTAATATGTTGGCGTTACATTGTTTTTAAGTAAACTTATCTAATATAATACCCGTCTTGCTTGGATAATTTCTTCAGTGTATCTATTTAATACTTTTACTCCATAATATCTTTGTTGCCATTTCTCCTTCTATGTCTGATCAAGCACTGAAAATAAAGAGAAAGACATGACATGTAATCATATATGTATAATCAACAACTGCATTTTGACATAGACAATATATTAGAGACAATAAGATTGAATGCTTTTTTACCTTAATCATATTTCCAGATATATCTTGCAAGAACGCAATTGCATTTCTGTTTTGAGAACATATTTCTGTTATTCGTCCTGGTATTTTATTGCATACTCAATATCTAAAGCAAGTACGTACATTGTTAGATTTTACAAAACTTTTTCGACAAATAGACAGAATTGTGGTCAAAACTATGATTTGAATTGAAGAAGCATAAAATAACTTTAAAAATTCACTAAATGCATGCTATAAACATGGATTAATGTACGAATTTATTTCTTTTTAACTGACTTCGAAAAAGGAGGAGGTTACTCAATTCGTTCAGTATATTTATTTATTTTTTTTTCCTATGTCTGTTCACCGATTACTCCGAAATGGATGGACCGATCGGAACGAAACCTTTTGCATCTTGTAGAGTATGTCTCCCGATTGATACCGCTAAAAAAATATTTTGTATTTTTTCATTGCTAAGGATTATTATTGCAAAAAACAGAAAGTTTCTAATCTCAACATAGGATGATTTCAATATATATATATACAGTTAATACTGTTACTAAAATCTCATGAATTTTCTATTCCTTTTGCTACACTGTGAGATAATCACAATCAATCAAATTAACACTTTCTTTTTATTAAAAGTAGCACACTTTTTACTTTTGATTTTCTAATAGTATGCACTAATAAGAAAACACTGATTCAAATGAACATTTCTGCTAACAGATGTGCACATTAACCGCATTACTTATAAATTTGGCATATCACTCCAAGCTTAAAAAAGTGGTGTACATTTATTATTAATTTATAATATCAGATTGAACTAATTAATAAATATAGGATAGGTTAGGTACAGTATCCAACAGATTTAAACATTATTTCTACTTAGTGTTATGTATCTCCTAATTTACTAAGCAACGTGTTATCTTTATTTTCACTTTTTAAACATGCATAAAGAATTTGAACTATCCGTAGTATGCTTTTATTAACATACTGCAACAAATGCATACATTGTCCAACAAGAGAACGCATTTACTAGGTATTGTAAACGTTTCAATACATAATGAATATTTTTATTAAAGTCTTAAGTAAATACATAAATTGATACTTATTATTGGTACATGTATACATGTACGATTTTTTACTTATTTTCATTATGACATATATACATTTACTTAACTTTACACATTTACTATGACATACAATATAAATTTTAAATTGTTTAAAGATTTAAAAGTTCAAATCTGTACCAAGGAAATATTTTTTTAACTGCTGTTTACATCTTTAAACCATTATTTATTGAATTTTGTTTTAAAATTAAATAAATATTTAATAATTGTTCATAACTAAATGCTCCTTCGTTCATATTTTTATAAAAACCATTTTTTTAGGTATTATTTGGTACCTAAATTTTTAAATAAAGGTAGCAACGTTGTTTTCGAAACAAAATATTAAATGTGCAGTAAGAAATAATTAAGGAACATTTCAAGAGATGCATCTCTAATTCAAAATGCAATTTTTCAATTCAATAGTTCTTAAGACATTATAGACTGAACAAAGAAATAGCTAATACAAAAATATGAAATAGAACTGCATATTTTTTACTAATGCAAATCAATTCCTTGGGATACTCCGCGTAGAAAACGCATCGCAATTCAGTCACCACTTTTTAGGTTATGAATTTGAATAAAACGTATTTCTAAATTTGGATCATATATATTTACTTATATGCACTTTATCATATGCTTGACACTATTTTAGAGTTATATATATAGATATATGTCATATATATGCTATATTTTTTATGCAGAAGCATTTATACAAATCAGTGACTATTTGTTTATATGCAATGGCAGATTTCAGGACGTCCACCTTCTTCAACCAAGCACTTCATATATTACATAACTAAATGAAATAATAATAATAATTTTATATTAAAAAACAGATACATATTTGCTGATTGAAAATCCAAGAACAAATATGTCAATTTCCAGTTCTGAAAACATTATACATAAATACAATACTTTTATCTTTTGACAACTTTTGAAATTCCTAATCCAGAATAGAAAGCATTTATAAGGTACTTTATTAACGAGGACATGATTAATTACGAATAGTCTGACAATATAGTACGATAATGACATTTCTTTTTATTGGCAATCTTTCGTACTTATCAATTTTTTGGCAACATACGGTGTATATGACGAAAGAAAACGCGTTATGCAGTAGACGCAATAAAACTGTATAAAATCGAAAAAATCGATAATTCGGTTATTATTGCATGAATTTTTGTAATCGACCTTTCTTTGTGCTGGAAATCGCAAAAACTTTTCAATTTTTGAACAAGAAAAAGTGCTTATCGTGGAAAATAAATTTTTCTAAAGATGACGCCGTAAAATATTAAAAGATTGAAAAAATCAATAATTTCGCTACTTCTCCACGTATTTTCATGATTCATGTCTTTTTTTCCAGAAATCGCAAATACTTTTCAGTTTTTGAACGAAGGAAGGTGCTTATCATGAAAAATAAGTTTTTAAATAGACGACGTAATAAAATTTGGAAAACTGGAAAAATCGACAATTCCTCTATTCCTCCATGCATTTCCACGATCGACTACTCTTTTTACTGGAAATCACTGTTATTTTTTATGATAAGCACCTTCCGTCGATCAAAAATTGTCGATACGTCAAAAATACAGTTTTATCGTATCAGCTGCATAACGCGTTACATTTTGTCATATGCTACGTGTTTCGCGAAAAGATTGTGAAGTATCGGAAATTACCAAAAAAAAGAAATATAGTTGGCATAATATATTGTCAGACTACATGTAATTAATATCATGTACAACAATTGTTCAAGAAATTTAGTAAATTCCGTTGTAACGCTATCGCGAAATTTCATTGACACGCCACCTCGCGAAATAGCCCCGAATTATCCACGGCTCGCGATTCGAATATGTTAATGTTACGCGAACAAACATCGCGTAAACCTTATCCCGTTAGACTCTAATAAAACAATCCTAAACTATGTTAATTTCAAAGGAACTTTACCACCGTAAACGTTTATAACCTCCGTTTTTCAAAGACATCGGCGGCCGGGGGGGGGGGGGGGGGGGGGGGGGGGGAGGGGCGTGCAGGCGCTGGCTGGATGGTCGAAATCGTCGCAGTTAAAGCAGCGATCGACCCCACGGAGACACCGCTGCCTGACATGACCAGCCTCCAGGCAGCGGTAACACTGCAGGGTGCGAGCCGCCAGGGCCCCGACCCGTGGTGAGGACCAGCCGACCCTCAGTCTCCCACCGCCGACCAACTTGTTGGCCGCGGGGAGGGGTGCGAATCTTACCCACTTTTGTGTCCGCCGCGGTGCAACCGAGGCTACTCCACCTAATCTAACCAGTCCTAACTTCATCATTGCTTCCTTGAGCCTTGGTGGGTTAGCAACTCGCTTTTGCGTTAAAGGGCGCAATTGCTCTAAATAAATTCACTCCCGACTAGCCGGCCACCCTCCAAGTGGCAACTGACCCGTTGTCGGCGTAAGGAATGTTGAGTTAGTGACGAAACAGCTACCCTGAGTGGGTTAGTGACTACACCCACCAGGCGCCTTACGCCTAACCTACACCTAACCTAACCTAACCTAACCTAACCCTAACGCTCTTTTTTTTCGTGGGGGAAACCTTCCAAAGACGTCCCCAGTCCCCCTGGGGAGAGGCCGGGTGTAGTGCCGGGTTTTCCGGCTAAAACCCCCACGGTGACCCGCACAGGGGGTAAGGAAGGGCTGCGGGGCCACTAAGGAACAACACCGGGACCCAACCACCCTTGGCACATAGCGCCCCGTCACGGGGGAGGGTCTAACCTTTGACACTCCCCGTTAGTGCCAACTCCGCAGACGCCGGGGGCCACACCTGACGCCGGCTACTCCTCGGGCCGCGTGGAATGGTGACCGGGGTCCCAGCACTGGCCACCTGCGGCCCAGCGACTCCGAAAAGGAGCCGCTAGATCTGCGATGGGGGGAGGGTCAGGCCCCTCCCCCCTGTCCGATCCCACTACATCTGCCTTGGGTAGGAGCCAAAGCTCTTCCCCATCCTATCACCCGGGGGAGGCCGAAGCCTTCCCCTACTACATCTACCTTCCCCCCTCATCCTGTTGGGGGCGGTGGGCAGAATTATCAAGGCCCACCGCCCCGTCCTCCCCAGCTAACTGTGCCTTCGGGGAGCCTACCCTTCATCTTCCAGTACCCCCAGTATCGTCCCGTGGGGCAGGGTGTTAAAGACGTTCACTATCTCTAACGAAACGCCGATTGCCACCCCGCCCCGGGACGTGGCCGAGTCGCATTGGGAGCGCAGCGAATCGCTCGCATCAATGGTGCTGCGCCCCCGTCTAAAGCCGTACTGCGACTCAGCTAGATCAAGGGCTACCCGGGATAGGTGCTCGGCGAGGCAGTCAGCTATAACGCTTTCTAAAAGCTCCACGACCTCGTCGAGCAAAACTATGGGCCGGTACGCGGAGGGCCTCTCTGCGGGCCGTCCTTCCTTTCTAAGCAGGACCAGTCGTCCAAGCTTCCACACCGAGAGGTATACCCCCTCCTTGACACAGGCGCTGAAGAGGCGTCTCAATCGCGGTCCAAGGACGCGCAGGGCCAATACCCAGGCTCGGCCGGGGACGCCGTCGGGGCCCGGAGCGATGTTCCGAGCCCCCATGCGTTTAATTGCCCCGGCCAGCTCCCCCTCTGTGACCCCCATGTCGTCGGTCCATTCTACAGGCCCAAGAACTGGAGGTCGAGGCTCTCCGTCACGGGGGGCGGCGGGGCCTTAGTTTGCCCATCGCCCACATATAAGGGCGCCCCCACGGATCGGCATCCAGAGAGCCGAGGAGCTCCTGCCATGCCCGGGACTTAGCCTCCCTGATGGCCAGCTGCAGGGCTACCACCAATACACGGTAGCACCCGTTCAACTCTTCCTCCCTCGCTGGGTTGCGGTTCCTTCCCCGACGGGCCCTTTGCCACTGGCGTCGGGCGACGTTGCACTTCTGCCGAATGTCGGCAATTTCGCCCGACCACCAGTAGGTCTGAGGAGGCATTTGGTCCGGGGCATGGCGACGTCACAGATCGCCTTCATCGTACCCCGGAACCATATAACCTCCTCCCCTATATCCGCGACCGGACCGACCGGTTGCTCCGGCCAGGTTACAGCGAGGGCTGCGGCCATCAGCGCGTCCCTGTCAAGCCTCTTCAGCGCCCATCACCGCGGCGGTGGGCCGCTCGGTGGGCGACGGTCGGGGGTGGAGAATCCGAGGCGGATGTGGCGATGATCGCTAAGCATCTCCGCCTCCTCCACCACCCTCCAACTCTGCAACATGCGTGCGGTCGAGAGAGTCGCGAACGATAGGTCTGCTATCGACCCCCCACGAACGCGCACGCAGGTGCTGACCGAGCCCCAGTTCAACAGCCGGAGCTAGAATTCCGCCGCCCACTCGAGTACCGCCTCACCCCTCGCGTCAGTCCTCGGGGATCCCCACGATTGGGCATGGGAGTTGAAATCCCCGAGGACGAGTGCCGGCCGGGGGTGGCAACGGGAAACCACGTCTCCCACCCGGTCTAAACACTCTTCGAACGCCGCGAGGGGCCAACTGGGTGGGCAATAGACGCCCACCACCGCGGTATCGCACCACAGCACCGCCATAAATCCCCGCCCCCGTTCTATAAGCGTAGGGGGCGGGGCAAGGGCGGTGACAATCACTGTCACGGAGCCGTCGTCGTCCCCGAACCAGTCGTGTCTGTCGGGGACCCTGTACGGCTCCGCGGCCACAGCCAACCCAATTTTCCACTCGGCCAGGTGATGCAGAAGAAGATCTTGCGCCCTGGCAGAGTGGTTCAGGTTGCCCTGAATTATGGGCCCAATGGACTGCATTACTGCTTGGAGGTAGCCGCCTCCGCAGCTTTTCCTCCGTTCGGGGTGGCAGGTCTGCCACCCCTCTTCTTATAGGGCGCAGCAGCCTTGGCTGGCTGCTGCTGCGCCTGTTGGGGGCTGCTACAATCCCCTGGACGGCGCCCTTTTTGCTATTCGGCCTCCGGGACTAGGGGGCGCACGACTTCGCCCCCAACTGGTGCCCCGCAGGTCGCCCCAAGTCGGTGCACAAGGGGCACGCGGGGAGGCGCTGCATGTGGCGGCCTTATGGCCCGACTCGCCGCAAACGTAGCAGCGGTCGGACCAGTCCACCTCGCAGATGCACCGCTGCCTCACATGGCCTTTTTCGAGGCAGTGGAAACACTGCAAAGGCCGCGCCGGCAGCGCCTCGACCCTGGCGTACGACCAGCCCACCAGGATCCTTCCGGAGGTGGCTATCTTACTCAGCGCCGTGAGGGGGCATTTGGCCCAAACAGTGCCCAACCTAGCCGGGGAGATTCTGACCCCCGCCTCATCCCTTGTCGCCGCGAGGAGCTTTTCCTTGGCCTTCCGCGACCCCCCCCCCCCCCCCCCCCCCTCCTTGACGGGTGGTCCAGTGAGGCAGCGGATACAAAGGACTCATCTGAGTCCTCCCCACTGTCAACCGGACTCGGAGCTCTCTTCCCCGAAACAGAGGAGCTCCTACCTCCGCGGGGTCGCAAGGCCCCTCTTCTAGCCCTCTGGGGGCGGGGAGCAGCGAACAAGTTCGCGTTCCCCTCGGTGCTGGTCAGTACCGCCATATCCTGTTGCATGTCCCGGTCCGTCGCTGTTGCCGTCGTCGAATTATCCCGTTCTGTGTTTTTTAGAGTGTTCAAGTCAGCCATAGTGTTCCGACGAGTGGGTCGGTCCGTGGGTCCACCCGGGCGGAGCCGCCTTACCCGGGTAAGGCTAGTACATCCGGGGGGTCGCCAGGTACCCCGGGGTTGGCCACTAGAGACTGATGCACCCAGCAGCCATGTCCGGCGCTTACTCCGAGCACGCCCTCCTCACCGCGCACCGTAGCTTGGGGCTAGGGATTTTTATAGAGGTTGTCATCCTCGCGGGCGAGCCGATGAAGGCAAGCCCCCCGTTCCAGCGAGACGTGACCACTGGGTTACGGTATAATTGCTAGGGCATTCCGGGTTCGCTACCCGCACCAGACCGCCACGCAGCCTGGCCTCTGGAGAACTCAACGACGCCGTAGCCACCTTTTCGCCTCTCCGAGCCAGGCCTTACCGGCAAGAGAGGCCCTGCCAGGATCCGTAGATCCCACCGGCATCGCCCCGGGTCATCTGCGAGGCTACTTCGACAGCAGCAAGCGCCCCCCTTTTAGTCGCGTTGTACGACAGGCAGGGGTTACCGTGTCTGTATTCTATCCCCCAGTCACAGGGGAGGTTTTGATGGGTTTTCCTTTCCTTGGTGTTTGGTCCGCGGGAGCTATTTTATTTCACTCCTACCCTTCATCGACTCCGAAAAGTGCATGGCGAGCCATCCCCTATCCGCCACCTGGGGACGCGCCACGTCGGGGTATCACCTACCCGCCCAGCCAGTACACTTGGCCAGGTCCGTGGAACCCTAACGCTAACCTAACCTAACCCTAACCTGCAAGGTTAAGTTCAAGGTCACTACAAGATAATACTTTACGACCCCTACAACTTTTGTTTTAGAAATTTTCCGTGGAAATGCATTCTTATTGAGATAACAAGGGGATCGCACACTTTTAGAATACCCTGTATATCTCGAGAACGGTTTATTTGTCAGTTCTGAAAATGGTCTCATTCGATTTCTCGTCCCTCAGTTACTATAAATCCGAAGGTTGGTTGTCCTGGGGTATGGGGGGGGGGGGG